TAGTATGCTTACAGATAGATTAGAATTATATATTTAGAGAAATTTATGTATTATAATAATGAATAAAAAAGAATAATTAGACTAATATTATTTGTTGATTTAAATTTTGTGTTAATATTTACAAATATCATTTGATATAGATATTTCTAAAGATAAGTAAATAAGTGATTATGAGAAAGAGTAAAGAAGATTTTATATATTAATTATTAATTAATTTATTCTTTATTCTTATATTTTTTCTAGATAAAAATCTTAAATTCAAATTAATTAAATTAAATATTTTGTCTTTTTTAAACTAAAAAATCTAACTATTTTATCATTATTTTTTAAGTATTTTTCTTAAAAAAAAGATAATATTATTCATATTCTTTTTTAAATCTCTAAAAATTATTTATTTTATATAATTTATTATTTGTTATTATAATAAAAAAATATATTATTCTAATTTTAATTAATTTTTTTATTATATTAATAAATTAGATAATAATAAAGAATTATTAAAGTAAGAGTGATATAATCTGTTATATTAAAGAATATAAATAATTATACTAAAGAATATCAAAAAAAAGAAAAAAAAGAAAGTTATCTTAATTATTAATAATATATACTAAAAAATACAGAAAAATAAGAGAATAAATTATTATAATCTTTAGTATTAATAATATTATATTAGTAAATATGAAAAAATAAGAATATAATATAATTTTATATATTAAAAAATATATAATTAAGAGATATAAATATAATTATAAATATATTATAATATTAAAAAATAAGAAGATTAAGAAATATATAGTATTACAAAATATTTAATAATTAAAATAATTTTTTTATAATTTTTAAAATTATCAATTTTAATAAAATAGTTATAATATTTATCTCTTTTATAAAATTAAGCTTTATTAAAATTATTATAATTATTAATTAATTTTTTTATTTTATCTAGCTAAGCTAAGATATATTATTAAATATTAAAGATAATTATTTATATATCTTAACTAAATTAATATATTAGAATAGTCAGAAATTATACTTTCTAATTTATTAATAATAATTAATTATAATAATATTATTTTACTATTTAAATTTTTTTTAAATATATAAAGTTATTAATTATATTATTATAAATTAATTTATTAAGATAACAATATTATTATAACTAAAAAATATTTATTCTATCAGGTTAAGTAAGATTTATAATAATTAATTTGATTTTATTCTTTTAAATAAGTATAATCTTAGAGTATTCTTAAATTAAAGTTATTATAATTTTGAAATTAATAGTATTAGTCTTGATTACTTTATTAAAACTTATTATTTTTAATTTTAATTTGATCAGAGTTATATTATTTATTAATAATTTAAGATTAATAACTTATATTTATTTCTACTTGACAAAAATTAATTAATCTTTTATAAGATTAATAATATTAAAACTATATTTTCATAATAATTAAACAAATTATAAAATAAAGATTATGACTTTTTTATTTTATTATATATTATTATTTTTCTTTGAAAGTATTAAAGAATAAAAATATCTAAATAATATTTATTCTATATAATTATTAATTAATATTTATTAGTATATTATATTAATTATTATATAATTAAGATATTAATATATATTTTAGAGAATTTTATTTTTTATAATATTATTTAAGCTATATATTATTAAAGAATTTTATTACTACTTAATTATACTAATTTTATAATTTATTATTATATATAATCAGATCTCTCTATATTTATATCTCTTTATATTTGTCTTTTTTTTAGTTATTTTTTTAATTACTAATTAATTATAATTAAATTATACTTTTTTATTTTATTTTAGCTTAATTTAAAAAATTAATTTTATATTAAATATATAAATAATTATTATATATTAAATTAGTTAAATTAATTATATAGTATTATACTAATAATTATTATATATTTTTTAATTATAAATTTAGATTATTATTATTTTTCTTTAATTATTTTATATAATTTTTATTTACTTTTCTTTATATTATTATTTTTTTAATTATTATATATTATTCTTTTTTATTATTATTTTTATTATTATTTATTATTATTAATTTATTAGATTAAATACAATGATACTCTTTAAAGATATTATTTAAGATAATTAATTTTGTTAATTATATAAATTTTATAATATTTTAAATTATTAATTTATTTATAATTTATACTTATATTTTATATAAATATATTATTTTATTCTGTATTTTCAAGCTCAAACTTTGATATTATTCAAATAATAAAATTTAAATATTTATAAATTGAAAGTATTTAATTTATATTTTATCTTATTTATATAAGTAAATTAATAATCTTATAATAAAATAAAAATTTCAAGATTTTTATTTCAAGTATTATTCTTTTTATTTTAATTAATATCTTTCTGATTTAATAAACCTTTTTTTATTTATTTAATTCTTTTAATATATTTTATTTAAAATACTTGTTATTCAGTTTATATTCGTTAAAATCTAATATTTATTAATTATATTATATAATATTTTGAATGCTATTAATAAAATATATTATATAACTTTTTTGAGTTTAAATTTAAATTTTTAGTATTTTATCATTTATAAAATATAAGCTGATATTGTAAAGTAAAATGAATAATATAATATAAATTTATAAATTTTATTTTTATTTACATTGGATATATATAATAGATATTTGTTAATTTAATATTAATTAATATTATATTTAACCATCAATATACTTCTATAAATAAATATTTTAATATATTAATCTTGATATTATATTGAATTTATCTTTATTTAAAAAATATAAGCTAATTCTTATAGAATTTAAATAAATATTTTTTATATTTAAATTGATTTTAAATATTTTAATTAAATATAAAATAGATATATATGTTTATATTAATTGAAATTAATATTAATTTAAAAGTATCTAATTCGTATTTATATGTGTTCAGTTACTCAATTAAAGATGGCATTGTTTTTTGTTAGAAATATAAGCAGTTTGTTACACGTTTGTTAATTTGTGTTTGCCGCTTCCTAATAGTAATAATTTTTCTTCAAATCTAGATATTGAATTGTTAAATAATACGAGTAACTGCATCTATGATTCATAAATTGAATAATGAACGAAGCTATTTAAATTTAATATTATAGCTAGAAAAGCTTTGTTTTTTATTTGCTTGAATATGGTATTATATGTGTGCTCTCTTTCAATATTAAAAATATATTGAGATTAATACATGTAGCTAACAAACACTTATTATGCCGCAGCAAAAGTCAATAATATCACAGATTCGGTCGTCACTTTCTATTATCACCGTGAAGGGACCGACATTTTTGCTGCTATATAAGATGGTTGATAATTCAGAGGTTAGGGTTAATATTAGTTCAAGTGAAATTCGTTCTGTTATAAATGTTGATGTGTAAAGGGGTATTGATATTAAACAGGTTGATAATAGAAAGGGGTACATGAAAAACCAAACAATCGATATATATTCTTGAATTAGAAATTCGAATGCTTGCTTTCTTGATCAAACTTTAAACTACGTAGACATTATAAACAATTATGTATTATTAATAAAACTTTCTAAATAAAGAATTTCTAATTTTAAAATCAAATTAGAAAAAATATTTCGTTTTGGTATGTGATGGGTCTTGTTTTTCACGCATTAGATGCATGTGTCATGGGCTGACTTTATATAATCTACTGTAGTTGTATACATGTACTTTGCATGCAAGGTAAAATTCTAGTTCTCGAAATTTTTAATTTTTAGGTAAACGTTATACAGTGCAACAACGTAACCAATTAATTTGAGTTTTCAATTTTATGCTTAATGTCCGTAAGGATTATGTACATGTATAAATAATAGCACCACCAGAATTTTTCCGAGAAACACACCACTTAATATAATTTATACTCTTAACTTCGTTTAGTTTTGCTTAATTTCATGTACTACTCTTAGTTGAACCTCAAAGGTTAACGTTAATTATATTATTAAGCGGCCTGCCTAATATCCATGCATAAATTACATAAATTAAAATTGTCCTTCTAAGGTACGTATCCTATCGGAAGATTGCCCCTAAATGATGATAAACTAAATAAACAATTACTAATACTCTAATTTAAACTTTTTATTACAAGTTTAAACCAGTACGTATTTGAAATTAAACAAATGTAGAACTTAATCGTCGTCGTTAAAGAGCTTGAGCCATAAATTTTCTTAGCTCTTGTGTGAAAAAATTGCATTTACATGAAATTAAATACATCTCTAGATGCATAACTCCTCTAATTGAACATACGCTTAGTCTCTAAATGCATACTATAGGTTGGTCCCAAAGGTTCATTCAAGGATTGCGACTGTATTATGCAATCTTTAAAATTGAAGATGCTTGTTTTTTAAAGAAGTGTAGTGATTCGTATCAGTATTTTATGCATAATTAAACCAGCGTATACTGTATGTATAATATTATCTCAGAAATAAAATTAAAGTATAATTTACTTCTGGTGTGCCATCTTGTATATAACGTTCATGTTTAAAAAAAAAGCCACATGAAACCTAACACAAAAAACAAATAGATTAACAATTTATAAGATGATCAAAAAAAGTTGAATGAAAAACAGTAAATTACATGCATCTCATGTTTATTTATTATTATGACATTGAATATTTGTTTACTTGTTTACGTATCTGAGACCTGTGGGGGAGCTTCCGTATGATACACTTTTTCTATTGGTGGCAAAAATTAACATTGTTAAAGCATAGCAAAATAAATGTTATTCTGAAGTAGTGGTGACATTTAACAAACACACTTCGATATTTACCACTTTTAAATTTTGTACTCATGGCCACATGAGTTGCACTTGATCATACTAATCACAAGGCGATCTCTTCTTACATGGCAATGAAAATTTAAACAATGGCAATCGTAAAAAAAAAAGTCATAAATACAAAGTGATGTCTGCGACATTTTTCTCATCTAACGTATTCAAAGATGAATTCTATTTCCCACAACAGCTATAACTTTTATAACCATTATTCTTCTGTTGAAACCACCACTACCACAAATATCTCACTAGTAAAACACTGGAAAGAATGCATTGCGGCACGAATCAAATCAGAAATAACAGATAAAGGAATAAAAATTCCTCCGAAACTTTCTTTCTCTTCCTCCTCATCCTCCTCTTCGTTAGAGTATTTACTATCACCTATTAGTAGCAGCAGCAGCAGCAGTAATAAGATTCTCGTTGAATTTAACTTGTCATTTCACCTTCACAACCTTCCGACTCCATTTATCTTATACCTTAAAGAAGTATATCCGTCTTTGAAAAAAAGTCTCGCTCATCATTATCAATGCAATGATAATAACATTGAACCATATCAAATTAACGAAATTGCCTCACGTAAATGGGAATACGAATCAGTGGAGATACGACAATTTTTCGAGTATTTATCGGAAGTGGCGAAGCTTATTTATAACGATATGTGGAAAATTTCTTTGAAATTTAACAAAAATAAATATCATTTTGTTTCGGATAGCAATAAAAATGACGATTATTTTCAGAATCCTCATCATCACGATAATACATTTATTGATTTAACAAGTAAAGAAAAAGGCCATCTTGAAACAGTTTTTCGAGTCGATGAGACTCCGATGGAAAATAAACCTCTGTATGACCTTAAAAATAATCAGATTATAGAAGATATTTCGTCGGAGAATAATTATATTACTACTACCACCACCACTACTACTACTAATAATAATAAGAGCCAATCAGAGCACTCTCTCAAAGCAAGAAATCGCATTAGTAAGCCTTCTTTTATTCATTCTCCTGGATGTCCATTAGCGAGGCAACAACAGCAACACAACCAAAAATTAATATTACCGCGCATTAAATCTGTTTTTGGTGACACTAATAATAAACATCATCAATCTTCATCCGTACAAGGAGCAAAAAATTTTCCTTCTCGCTTATCAGCTTTTCGCACGTTCGAAAAAAAGCAGTTACTTCCCTCCACTTCAAAGATTTTATCATCACGAACAATTAACAAAGTTCAAAAATACGCAAAAATAAGCCGCGTTCCTGTAAAAATCATCTTTCATTCCTGATATTCGTTCTAGACAAAATTTAGTGTACCTGAAACGCAGATTTCTCTTGGCAAACAAAAAATGCATATCGATATCACGCAGAATAAACTTTAATTTTTTCTCCAAATTAATTAAACATGACAAAGTTGATCTTTTCCTATGAAAATCGAAACTCAATTTAGAACTCAGTTTTGTGGATTGTAAAAACATGTTTGCCTGCCGTTGTATAGAATGTATGTGCAACGCCCAGGTTTTTTACCTTAAAATGGTAATACATGTAGAACAAAGACAGATACATATATAAGAAAATAAATATTCACATGTATTTGATGTATAATAAAGAGTATATTACCTAAACCGAATTCCTTATTTTAGAAATTCCGTTATTATGTTTATCATGTCACTTTTTTGACTCTTCGGCGTACTATTTAAACTTCCAGCTCTTTTCTTTGAATTAAGTACTCTAACATATTATCAATGTGAACAAGGGTATAGAGGCAAATGATAAAAGCATTTTGATAGAAGCAATTGAAAATCCTAACGTCACTTTAGTATAGGCAATATTTGATGAATGCATTCAAAACTATAAACCAGAATCTATGCTCATTGTTGCCAAGGCTCTTCCGATTCTTTGGATCATTAATGATATTTTATTTTGGAATGGCAGCCTCTGTGTTTATTAGATTATTAAAATGTTCAAAAGATAAAATAACATTGCGTGTCAATTTTTTCAAAGCATGGAATACATTTGTCGGATTAGCAGCATCACTCCTTCCCGTTGCTACTATATCCTTGGAATATAATGATATTGCAGCTTCAGAACTCAAATCTCTCTATCTTATTCATGTGGATCTTTATCGTTTTACAACTTCATTTAATTAAGGGTGTCGGCATCTTCCTCGCAGGTAAGAAGTTCTTATAATTCCGTTCTAATTAAAGGGACGACAACTAATGGTTTTTCTATGTGTAGTTATCAAGATCATCTTGAAAATTAAATGGCTACTATTATTTTAATCTTCGTGCTATTCTCCTTTGCCCATTCGTTGGTGGTTCTCTTATTGGAAACTTCGCCTGATAACGGAACCAATACATTTACTAGCTTTGACCAATCCCTCAAAAATGACTGGCCGATGCTTCTGTGTGACTAAAGTTCATTAAGTACATGGACAAACAATGTCTGCTGGATATTCTCAAGATTGTCTTCACATTCAGCACAACAATAGTAATCCTGAATATATTGAGTACGTAGCTAATAGTTTTCTTTTGTTAAAACAGTTATTAACGCTCCTTTTCGATAGTTGCCCTCATGAATCATGCCTATGATGAAACATATAAGAATGCACAAACCGTATAGATCACACAACTTGCAGAGTTCCTCGTGGACATTGAATATTCACTTGAATATTCTGGTTGGGAATATTTTTTGGCTTGTATGCATAAATAACTCTCTTATGCTGCAACTCATAATCCATATATCTAAATTTAATTCATTAAATTAAAGGTCTCATCATATATTATTTTTCAAATCCAAGGTTCCCGAGCGACCCGTAAGCAAAGATAAACTAAATCGGAAGACGAAAGAATTAAGGAATTCAGGCAAACTCCCTTTGTTGAATCGCAGAAATTCCCCCATGGAACATTTCAGAGCCAATTAATTATGAGATCGACATCCCCCATGAGATCATGAATATAAATTATGAACCGGAAAATATGCTCGAAATTACTAGACGCTTTCGTTTAGGAATACATTAAATATACAATCGCAGCTCGTTATAGTCAGGTTGGGAGACGGTATATAATGACTGTAAAAAAGTAACTTATATTATGTTTATAAAAATAAGTTTATAAATAAGATTATAAAATGTATGACTATAGCATAATCAAATTCTCGATTACATAATAAATGAGCAGGCTTAAATAACAGCCCATATCAGAATGACTTCAAAATATGAAAGCTTAGGCATCCAGTAATTAAATCGGAGCGATAGACTGTATGTCACAAACATAAGGACCAGTACCGTATAATCGCGAAATTATACCATATGCGCGTTATTTCGAATAAAGAGTCGACTTTCTGATTTTCCTAAATCGTCTGAGCCATGAAATCGTCCTCTTTAAAAAGTGGATTCTTATTTCTTTATAAATAATGTTGTATCCAACCCAAATTCAGGTCTGCCAGAAAATTTGCAATGTCTTAATGGATTACATAGAAATCGTAGTCAATTATTACTTTCAATATTAATTCATTATGTTCCGTTTTTATTTATATATAGCATGCCTTTAAATAACGATTGTTTATTGTACTATATAACGCATTGCAACGAAAATCAACTATAATCTAATCGGATTATTTTAATCTAATTATATTTCTGCAAATAAAAAATCTGCGGCTATATGGGTGTAAAGTTTAGAACCGGTTATACTTTTAATATTAAAACTCGAATATAATCATTAGATTCGAATTTTAATATTAAAAATATAACAGGTTCCAAACACTATACGGGCACACGTTATTTTGGGACGCGTATGGACGTTATTTCGAAATGGACGGGCTATTTTAATTCGATAAAGTCACCGTGCTATGATGAATAGACAGTTACATTCAGTTAAAGACAGAATGGCCGATATCAGTCTTTAAAAGCATGCCATCTGGTCTGGTAGTATATGAGCACCCTACCACAATTTTGTTTGCGTTTTGTGACCCGGAATTACGATATTACAGCGGTTCATCAAAAAAATAGTGCGCCTTTGTTGTTATATAAACTGTAGCACCAAAACAAGCGATCAGAAAAACTTGTTTGGTCAAGTGCGATAATATTCACATTTTTGTTTGAGGTCCAGAACCAAATGAAATGAGGAATGTTCAAGTGATTCTGCAACTCAAACTGATTGATTACGATTAATTTACATGCAAAAAATTACTGCATAAATTTACATACATAGTGTGAAAGATGAAAAACGTATATCGGATGTAAAGCAACTCACTAAAAAAATAACGTATGGAAAATTTCATTATATTAAATTAATTACTAAATGAATGCATTGAATTTATGATTGCTATTTTGTGTATCCATAAAACATCTTGATATAGTTCAGGAAGCCTTAACTGAGTTGAGAAAGTCTTGACTCACCAGTTTTTTTCAATCTTCAAAATCTATTAACACATATTTAAAATTCAACCGGTAACTTTGTTCTTTATAATAAGTTCTACAAAATAACGATGGAATTTTAAAAATTTTGCCTCTATATTGAATGATGAATTTTGCAAATTGAAAACGATTGTGAATTAATCCTTCGCAGACAGAAATTAAGATTAATAATTTTTCGTGCGATCTATAAATTTTCCACAAATATTTATATAGATGCTTCATGAGATTAACTCAGAAGATTGATTTCATTTCACATATATAGCTAGATCTCTCCATACAGTCATATTATATATAGTTAAATTTCTATATAGGTATCATGAAATGGCTGAACTTAATTAATTATCTTTTATAATTACAAATTGGTTATAAATACCATTATGTTCATATTTTTTAAAATTTTTTATAATACTAGTTTTTGATTAGTTACTAATAAAATTTAACCAGTTATAAAATTTTATATTTAACTAGAAAGATAATTAAAATAAATTTATATATTTTGATAATTTTTCAAATTTATATGTTTGAGTATTTAATTTTTACTAAAATTAATCTAAATTGTAATTAGTATTATAATATAAATAAGTTATAAATAATTAAAATAATAGAATTAAAATATTTACTTATATTTATATTATAATATGTATAAATTATAAATTTCTACTATAATCACATTCTTAAATCAGGTATTTTATATGGTTATTATGAAATTATAACTAATATATAAATAATTATATTAATCAAGCAGAAAATTAATATAATCATAGTGTATTTATAATAATTTCAGAGTGTAAATATTGTAGAAGTTTATTATATAAACATTATATATAATATATATAGTATTAAATATAATTTTTATATAATAATTATAAAAAGATATAACTAGAAATTTTTTAATTATATTTACTTATTTTAAAAAGAGTAATTATAAAAATATAATTATAAAAAGATCTAATTATATTTATAATTTTTATCAAATTTTTTTAGTTATTATATTTGAAAAAACAAAATTAGTTAATTATAAAGATATAAAAATAGAAAGATTATAGTTAATTAGTAATTAAGAAATTCAAAAAAAATGACGATCATATCGCGAATTTACAATCACCATTAATATCCTTACTGACCGGTTATACATTAAAATAATTGTTAACATGTAAGATAATCTTTAACATATACATGTAATTACTCGATTTATCACATAAAACCATGCAAATGTTTACGCTCATTGATTTCACTTCATTTTGGGAATTTAGCGTTGAATTATGCGATTGGTTCTCCAACAAAATAAAAATTTGTTCTATTTCGACGCACATCCGATTTAATTACAGAATTTGAAAAGAAATATGACACTCCCCTAGATGTATAGAGCCTTCTGATCAACTAGCATACAGTGGTCATCATAAAGGTCCGGAATATTGATCCGATGCAACATACGTCGCGTGAATGACTGATTTTTAATCTATATAAAATTCTTTATGTTTCTAATGCCGAACGCAGTTTCATTTCCAACAGGACAACTCTTTGATCGAAAGCCACGTTCGAAACCTTCTTACCGATATAAAACCCATCGAAAATAAGTGAGCGATACTAAAGGGAAAAGTGGCGAAAGTAGTAAACTTATGTAAATTAAAAAAAACTTTCAACGGATGTGTTTCAAAATACTAATCCGTCAGGAATGAATGGGTTGGAGCGAAGACCTCTTTCCTCGGTTGGCGAGGAGCATGAAAGGTCAAGAGGAAAAAGCTAGATATTAAAGATGATATGTACATGTAGTTAGTAAACTTATCTGGCACTGCATGTATGAAATTTTAGGCACATAAAAATAATAAAAATAAAATTTTTTCCTGAATCCCGGATCTTTATGATCACTGT